TAAAATTCTCTAAAATATTAGTCTAATATCAAGACCTGACGGACCGGTACTCACACTTTTTTTACTAATAATCTTTAGCATCTACATTTAAAAGTAAATTTTTTGGTAAGAAAATACGAAAATACCAAATAAATGATAAATACCTTCACCTGAATATTCCACGACATTTAGATAATTAATAAGATTAATTACAATTGAAAAAGAAACACTTTCCGTAATGGGTTCAGCGCCAAATGCAACTAAACTGATTAGTCGGTATCGCGCCCATTCCCGTATTTTTTTTGGAAATGTATCGTTCGTGAAGAACCGGTTTTTTTTACCAACTGTCACCATGCCTTTTTTCTACCTGCGTCCATATAGTCGAAACACTGTGCGGCGCGACGTAAACATTTTTAATATTTTCTAATATTTTTATTAAACTTATTCTTATTTTCTAATTTTCGGCTATGTCCAGCTTTGTCGTTTCGCTTAGATTTACGCTGTTTAAATATTCTGGCATGAATGAAAGTGCTGCCACATATTTTTTTGACAAACATATGCTCTTTCGCTTATGATTGTCATTGTGCCATTTCCATTTTTGTAAAGTTCTTTACGAAACTTCCAATTGCTATAAATTTAACTTCCATTTTTGTTTAAGATTTACAGTTTTGGTGTCTTCAAACTAAATAAAAAAGTACTAAAAAACGCACCAAGCACCAAACTCAAAAGTTTTCGCGTTTTGAATTAAGAAAAGCACTAAATTTAGTGCGAAAAGCACTAAGTTGGCAACAGTGGTCATAGCACACACTTTTTTTTCTCTACCTAGCGCAGTGATCGACATGCCATAGCTTACTGAGCGCATGCGTGTTTCACCCATGAACCAAAAATACAAGATCACGCCTTCTTCTTAGTAGCCCGTTATAATCGCATTTAGGAAAAAAGTTGGGCGACTTTGACATTAGCCGTTTGTTTACATTTGTTCGTTGTTTACAATTTGGTGGTGGCTTTTTACTGCAATTTTCTTAATTTTCGCTTGTGACAACGTGTGCACACATAAGGTAAAGAGTAATTTAACACAACGACATGATTTGTAGAAGAATTTGCATAATAAAAATGACTATTCATGTGTTCAACAATTACGCGGTTTTTTTGTTCTCTTCGTTGTTTACTTCTTACAACAAAGATGGCGTCGAGATTTCAACAGCTAGAAAATAACTTTTTTCTTTCTTTCGGGAACCCTGCAAAAATCGCGACTACTCCATGCATGCGTGTAAAGAGTATTCAACAATTACGCGTTTCTTTTGTTCTCTTCGTTGTTTACTTCTTACAACAAAGATGGCGTCGAAATTTCAACAGCTAGAAAATAACTTTTTTCTTTCTTTCGGGAACCCTGCAAAAATCGCGACTACTCCATGCATGCGTGTAAAGAGGATTCAACAATTACGCGTTTCTTTTGTTCTCTTCGTTGTTTACTTCTTACAACAAAGATGGCGTCGAAATTTCAACAGCTAGAAAATAACTTTTTTCTTTCTTTCGGGAACCCTGCAAAAATCGCGACTACTCCATGCATGCGTGTAAAGAGTACTCCCTAAGGACCAAGGAGTACTCCAAAATTAACCACAATTCATATAAAAAATATGGTCCAATTAACATTGCGATGTCCTAGGGCAGGACCATATACTCCATCCCTGCATTACATCAGAGTAGCACAAAACTACTCCAACATATTAACAATGGCATTGTTGTTATATTTTTTCGTTTGTACACGCTTTTGTTCTTCACTTCTCAAACGCTTTTTCGAAATTAATAAAAACCAAGACAAAAATTAAAAATTACATGTTGCCTCTGACGGCATTCGAGCCTGAACATGCTGGGAGCTAAGAACTAAAAGCGAGCATCTCTACATGTTCAGCTATAGCCAGACATGCAAATGTGCTTTCAAATGCTCAACTTCAATCACATTTCGTTAAAACACGAGTAGTGATCGGATAACAAACAATAAGCTGGCGCAGAGACACGAGTTGGTCCGCTACAGCATGACAGAGGACCACTTTTGTAAGTACTCCAATTTACCACAAATAGACTACATGGTCCAACGATTTTTACAGGGAAGACGTGATCTTGTGTCTTTCGTTCATGTGTTTCACCCATATACGAACAGCGGTAGCGGAGCAATGATTTCCACGCACACAGTGGCATTCATTGANTGTAAGTACTCCAATTTACCACAAATAGACTACATGGTCCAACGATTTTTACAGGGAAGACGTGATCTTGTGTCTTTCGTTCATGTGTTTCACCCATATACGAACAGCGGTAGCGGAGCAATGATTTCCACGCACACAGTGGCATTCATTGAATCCCCTGCAAAAAATTGTGCGACTAATCTCTAAAGAGAGTATTCCGAGATTACTCTCAATCGGGTACAATTGGCCATTAATTAGTCCCAACTAGTCTCATAGGGGTACTAATGGAGGTCAATTAGTCTCGACTCATCCCTTATGGGTATAATTGGAGATCAATTAGTCCCCAATGATATGTACGCACTTAGTCAATGAAATTTCATGTGCGGCGTTGGCACTCAGAGAGAGTATTCGCCTAACAAAACAGAGCACCCCGGTTCGAATCTCAGCTGGCGCAAATTTTAATTTTTATTTTTTAAAAGTGACTAGTCGTTTTTAATACCCGTTTGGGTATAAAGGTGTACAATTAGTCTCTTCATAGGACATGCTCGAACAAAAGCGATCAGTTCATTCCATATAAAGGGATCAAAAGTGGTATTAGTCGCATGCTGCTTTGCGATTGCTCCCGGAGTCATCCCGGATTAGTCCCATTTTTTGCAACGTCGTTTTTATGCAATGGTCGGCATACTAGCGCATTCAAACGATTCAATAAGTGGGACTGTGTGCATTGCTTAGCTGGCGCTCTTTTTATGTGAAACACACATGTGCTCAGAGAGCGCTCAGCATTCTTTAGGGGTGGCTCACAAGCAGAGTTGCCAGATGTGCGAATTTCGCCCCATTTTGGGGATTTCTGAAACCGTTTGGGGATAGATTTTTTCGTTTGTGGATGTGGGGATTTGATGGGATTTTTGTTTGGTTTAAAATATTCATATTGAAATTAAAATACATATATTTTACTGCCTGCCCTTAAAAATTTCTCAAACTAAGGTTTTCTTTGTCAAGTATTATTCGTGGAAAATGCCTGTTTTAATGGCTTTGGCTGAACACACAATTTTCTCTCACTTCTTTACACCAAATTGTAAAAGGATCGCTGTGATTGGCATTTACCGAATGGACTGCATCTATTTCTGATTTCCTTAGTGTAAAAAGAATTTTACAAAGTGGCAAGCGCACAAAAAAAATTTACGAACTTACAGACAGCAATGGGAATAGGAACCTTGGGCCGAAGGTATGTTGTTAAATGTCTCGAAAAACCATAAAAAATAAAAAAACCGCTATACGTAAATAACCAAATGATCTCATATATATGTGTACACATATACAACTGTGAAAATTTGTAATATAAAAGTTTTCAAAACTGTAATTAAAACGAAGTAACAGAAATCAGAATACATATTTTTTTATTTCTTACTTAAGGGGATTTAAATGGGGATTTAGAAGAAAAATGGGGATTTTTTGGGGATAACTGCGGCTCGATATGGGGATGCGCTATACAAAAATTCTGGCAACACTGCTCACAAGCATGAATATGTTCCGCTCTCAAACCAAATCGTGGTTGCCTCAACTAAGATTTGGTAACTATGATTAAACCATGTGTTGAAAGAAAGTTTATATGTATTAGCAGAGCTTAATGACATCCTTTTATGAACCATACGTTAAGTTGAATGGAATTTGTAGAAATATGCTTCAAAAAATATTTATTAGCATTTACCAAACCCTTCAACTAAATTAACGATTTGGTACAACCTAGATGAATATTAGAAGCTTTAATATATTTAGTTATAATTACCAACCCATGGTAATAGTTCCCCATCCTTGGTCACAGTTCCCAAATATTGTCAAAATTCGGGAACTAAATGTCTTTAGTTGTCGAAACTAATCCTTTTTCTCAGTGTACATATGCATTTGGACTCTAGATCGTCTAACGCTAGAGCAATATGATAAATACACATTGAAATTTTATGAAATTGTATATTTTTGAAAGAGGAAAGGTGTGTAAAAAAAAACAATATGAATAAATCATACTAACTTTATTAAAGGTTTGAAATCATGAAAATCACTTCAAGGAAATGGCAGAACTGAACTTTGTTGCAAGTTCACATGGGAAATCTGCTTACGACGTGATTGGAGGAAATTTTAGGAGACTAGCAGCTAGAGAAAGTCTTCAACTCCTGATGTTACAACAGATTCATACACCCGAAGCCCTCTACCAATGGGATGCCTGTAAAAAATAACTGCAACTTACTTTTCAGTGGACTTTATTTCGACTATGACTATTAATTCTATTTTAAACTAGTTTAAAAGGTTAAATAATATCATGTTAGGGAACTTCATATCCTTATTTAACGAATCTTTAAATCAATAAATAATTTTTTTCGTTTTAGTTCTTCTTGTAATAAATAAAAGCGTGTTGTTGGTTTTTTAACTATAATTTTATTACTCATTAGGTTTCTTTTCTTTAAACACCTCTCCTTTCCTTGTTTTAATAAAAGGACTAACCTTGAAGCTATCATTGAAGGTCTAATATTCTTTTGCAATGAAACCGAAACATCAACAACATCAACATGAACAACACTCAATGCAATCTTTAGAGGTCGCGCACAGAGGTGGCCGCGGTGACATGAAATGCCTCATATAACACCGTGCGACAAAAACCAAAAATTTTTAAAACGCACGAAAAAATCTATATATGTATTAACAATACTAGGAGCCAAATATAGTATAACTGCGCTTTTAATTTTTCTCTCTGACGTCTGGTTTTTTTTAAAGGACTTTGAAAAATTTCTAGGAGTATGCGAGTATGTTTAACTATTTAATTGTATTGTGTGTAATACTTACAAAGAATTCATCTTCAGTGACAGGGTCGGCGAGCATCTCAATGGCTTCGGTCATAGAACGACACGTTCTATTCGTATTCTTTTTCTTCTTCAGCTTCCGGCCTAGTGTGGCAGCATCACTAAAACGATGAAGTAGTTTCTCACGCTTACGCACAGCCGTTGGACTTGAATTAGAGTTGGCATGACAAAGTAGCGACGAGTAATTGTTGTTACCGGTCATAGAATTATTTACTGAACTATATCTAGCATTTACATAAAAGTTCGGCAACTGATATTGGCCGGATGCGGTTATTGTGCTGCTTGAGTCGATTTTTTTAATTAAATTACAGTCCGACTGTGGATATTTGCTCGGTATTGGTGAATCGGAAGCAATGTTTTTAAGTACAGTTTGTTGCTTAGGCTTTGGGGGCGGTGGTGGGGGAGGTTCTCTCATCAAAGAGATACGACGGGGGGCAGCACGTGGAAACGAGGTAATATTAGTGCCTGCACCTCTACAACTGGCTGCACGCCGATTGCGGGCATTTTCCCTTTCTCTGTAAGTAAAAGTATATAAATAAAAAAATTATTATGGGAATATGCACCATTCTAGTATTAACGTATGCATGTATACCAGAGTGTCCAGATTTGTCGATTTCGAGCCAATTTGGCGATTTTTTTTTGGATATTTGCGCGTAAAAAGTTAGGAAATCGCCATTGGCGATTTTTAGCGATTTTTTCCCCTTCAAATAAATTTCTCCGAATTATGAAAATATACAAAACTTAGTTTTCCACGATAATTTTACAGAAGAGGCTAATAAACTGCGTGATAAACTTGACTTAACAATCATATTAAAAGACTGTCAAAAATTGTTGATCACCCTAATCGAAGAACTTTTGAATCGATTACCTAGTCAATTAAATACTTTCAAAAAAGCTTTGATTTTTTCACCAGAAGAGTGTGTGACTCACAAGATGGCAAGTTTCAAAACGTTTCCAATATCAAGCAGTATGTTATCAAGGTTGAGTAGCTCAATATATGACAACAACAGAAATGTAAATCATTCAGACACTATAGGTGATTTTAAAGAAACTGTGGAAATAGCTGGTCTCGTCTTATTATAGGTTGTTATTTAATTTTTAGCGCCGAGCTCTTAAAAGGGGATTGTGCGATTAATCAATTAATATGAGTTATAATAAATTTAATAATTGCGCAGTCCTATTGCAAAATGTGTTGAAACAAATATTTTTAAAAAGTATGCGTATTTTTACAACATCATTTTTTGTACATCACTATTATATAAGTGATTTGTGTTATTTATTATTAACCCTTAATTAGGCGCATAAAGAAAACCACACAATTAGAGGTATGGGGTCCCCAGTGGCCCCAATAAAAGTGTTGAAAAAAGAGTTTTCAAAATAAAAAAAGGAAATGTGTATTTACAAAAACATTAAAGTACTCTATTATCGTTAACTTAAAAAAGAAAAACATAATTTCGACTTCAAACTTAAAAAAAAATTAAAACTTACTTCCGCAAAAAAATGTTACGTTAGTAGGCGCATGGGGTCAGCACTCAAGCGAGTAGCGACACATGTGTACACGACAATGTTCTAACCGTAACTAAATAAATAAAACGAAATGTATTTTGTCATAAATATTAAAGCTTTTTTTTACAGTTAACTTTAAGAAAGAAAAACATAACTTTGACATCAAACTTAGATACAAAAATAAAAACTAAAAAATGTTACATAAGTGGTCGCATGGGGTCAGGGCTTAAAAGAGTAGCGACAAATGTTTACACGCCGATGTTCTGGCCGTGACTTATTTATGTAGCCCGCGGGAAGTTAGGAAGCTAGGCAGAGCGCGGGCACGCTCCAAGCACTCCAAGACATTTTTTTTTCAACTTGAAATGACCTTGACCCCATTCGCATAATTAAGGGTTAAAGGTATTATATTCGTTTTTGGTTTTAAAAACTATATTATAACAAGATCTGATTTTTAAAATAAAAGATTTGTTAAATCGATTTCATGAATTTTATTTAAAAAAAATTGGCGATTTTTTCTTCAGAAATTGCGCTTTTTTTAACAATCTGGACATTCTGATGTATACAGTATATCATCGATCATCGGCCTAAATCGCCGTTGTGGGAAAAATGAGATTTGGTAGCCCTGAACTCCAGGCATCGAGATTTATGCATAAAAATCGTAAAATCGTTATAAAGAGAGATTTGTAAAATAACAGCTAGAGAAAGTACCGCCTCTGAAAGCAATGCCTTCAAAGTAAAACCGTTTTTCACTTCTTCTGATGTCGATATTTCGTGTTAATTCACAAAATGAATTTCAAAATACAAAGACGGGTTTGGTACCAAATGAAAGTAGATAAAATTCGATATCACTATGTTATCAAATATTTACCCAAACCTTAACTTTTTCTTGCAATATACTCTTAAGGTAAGACCGCACTAAGCGACGCGACACTGCAGCGGCACTACGCGACACGGCGCGACACTTTTTGATATATCGCACTGAAACTGCAGCGGCGCGACACTTCGCTGCAAATTTTTTAATTTATTTGTGTCAAAACCTTCAAACAAGACGGATGCCAGTGACGCTGATGTAATGTTAATGCCTTTCATTTTTATTTTCCTTGGCGAATTCTTCTTAAATATTATGTTTCTTTACATACAATTTTCTTCTTGAATGAAATGCATGTGAATATTCACTCACAATTGGAAATCCAATTACTTCAAGTTAAAAATATAGTACGAAATGTTATGTCGTTCCGCTAGGTATACCGCACTATTCGGCACCGGAACTGCGCGACACCACGCGGCGCGACATTTTTGCCAACTTTGCCGCGTAGCGTCGCGCCGCGTAGCGTAGCTCCGCTGCAGCGTAGTGCGGTATGCTCCATAAGAATATATGCAAAGAATATTTTACTGCGCTGTGTAGTGTCGTGTCGCGTCGCCTAGTGCGGTCGTACCTTTAAAGTGGTCACTCTTTCCTTTGAGTGTGCGCAAAGTGTAAAACTTAATTTAATATTTCAAATTTCCAAGCTATATCTGAGTTTTCTTTAAAGATATATCAGAAACGGCAATGGAACCTTCGTGTTCAGGTTTTTAGGCAATACAAGGTGATTTCAGTTTTCTTTTACTATGGTTCTAAGTATTTTATTTTATTTTTTATAGTAAGCGTAAAAATAAGAGGTTTTTGGCTATATGCGCAGACATATAGTTGAGAAGTAGGTGCGATCAAGCAAAAGTGTAATCATTTACATATACCTTGGACGTTATAGTGTTATTCAAGAACAAGAAAGTAATATTGATATTGTCCACGTTCGTTGTTTTCTCAATTACTGTTTTTTTATACCCTACATACGGCATAACTAATACGTACATACGTATATTATCACAAGTAATTTTTAGCAAAAAAAAAACCGACTTCAACTCTCATATAAAAAAAATATATTTATATATATATATATATATCTCATGATCCACTGATCGGATCTTAACAAGACCACCTTTGAGACACTACCTTTCCGATGCAAAAAGAATCATCGAAATCGGTTGACGTGGTCTAAAGTTGTGCGGTAACATACATAAAAAAAAATAATAATAAAACAAAAAAAAAATTAATATATTCCGACGAACTGATAACCTCCTCCTTTTTTGGAAGTTTTGTTTCAAAGGCGAAACTTTTAGTACTTGCTTGTATCATTTATATACATACTACACTATACTATATACACTATACTATATATACTATATACACTATACTATGTACATACTAGCTTATACCCGCGGGTTTCACCCCGCGCTTTTATACAAATAGGAAAAATAATTTAATGATGTTAGATTTTATTTCTGTGCCCATTTCGTTATAGCTCGTTATTTTTTAAGCGAGTTCAGGTATTTAGGCCGTTTAAAACTATGAAATTATAAAATCTCGTCTGCGCGCTAGGCATTCGAAATATATCAATCCCTCTAAGTTTACCTTAAAATGTTTCCAGGTACACGACGCGTGAACGTGTAACCTTCTTGGAGGTGCCACGGCGAGTTCTAATATTTCCAAATCAAATTTAGTAGCCTGGCCTTGATAAAATACCACTTCTCATTACTGTAGCAAATGCCTCAAGAGAGCTTTAAATTATAAGGCCGAACCCGGCTCTCCCTTTTCCATTTAATGAAATTTATTCTGTCTTCCACAAACACTTCCAGGGATATGTGGCAAGAAAAAGTAAATTTGTACTGGAAGTGCCACGCCCGTTTTACGCTTATAAAAAGCACGTAATATAAAAAAATAATAATTATTGTTATTAGTAATACATAAACTGGGAACTTTTACAAACCTAGTTTGTAAAACGTTTGTTGGTATATATCTTAATGAAAATGCACACCAAATTGCTTAGATTGATGAGGAAACCCGACTTAGCCATACCGCATTAACTTGCTTTGTGTGCACAGGGAGATTCCAGCATAACTTAATTAATTACCAAACCTACTTGATCAAATTAAGAGTTAATGATTAAAAATTAATTTTTTAATCGCGGTTACGATTAACTGTTTAGCTG